GGGGCTCCAAATAGCAAAAACAATCTTGAAAAAGAACAGCAAAGTTAGAAAATTACACTTCCCAGTTTCAAAACTTACTAAAAACCAACAGTAATCAAGACAGGGTACTGGTATAAGTATAAACATACACACCAAAGGAACACCACTGAGCATTCAGAATATACGTCTGCTGTCATACGTTTACTGTCACCTGATCTGAACAGAGGTGCCAAGACCATTCAGTGGAGTTTAAAAAACAGTCTTTCCAACAAATGGTTCTGGGACAACTGATGTCCATGAAGCTGCAACCCTACCCTCAAATCTTATACAAAAATTAACTCTGAGTGGATCAAAGAACTAAGTGTAAGAGCCATAAAACTCTTAGAAGAAAACAAGAAAATATTCATGAGTTTGGATTTAGCAATGGATTCTTAGATATGACACCAAAAGCAAAAATACTAGGAAAAAATGGATAAATTAAACCTCAGCAAAATAAAAAAACATTTTCAGGGGCGCCTGGGTGGCTCAGTTGGTTAAGCATCTGCCTTCACCTCAGGTCATGATCCCAGGGTCCTGGGATCAAGCCCTGCATCAGGCTCCCTGCTCCACGGACAGCCTGCTTCTCCCTCTCCCTGCCACTCCGCCTGCCGCTCTGCCTACCTGTGCTATCTCTGTCAAATAAATTAATTAGATCTTTAGGGGCGCCTGGGTGGCTCAGTGGGTTAAGCTGCTGCCTTCGGCTCAGGTCATGATCTCAGGGTCCTGGGATCGAGTCCCGCATCGGGCTCTCTGCTCAGTAGGGAGCCTGCTTCCCTCCCTCTCTCTGCCTGCCTCTCTGTCTACTTGTGATCTCTCTCTGTCAAATAAATAAATAAAATCTTTTAAAAAAAATTTAATTAGATCTTTAAAAAAAATCAAAAACATTTCTGCATCAAAGGGCATTTTTAGAAAGTAAAAAGACAACTAACAGAATTGAAGAAAACTACTTGCATACCATATCTGATAAGGCCCCACTTCCCACAATATACAGAATTCTTATAACTCAGCAAGACGAATTATATCATTTAAAATGGGCAAAGGGTCTGAGTAGACATTTCTCCAAAGGTATACAAATGGGCAACAAGCACACGAAAAAATGCTTGTTTGTCTTCTGGGAAATGCAGATCACAAGATACCCACCAGGATGACTAAAATCAAAATGATAAATAATGAGTGTCACTGAAAATACAGAGAAGGGGCGCCTGGGAGGCTCAGTGGGTTAAACCCTCTGCCTTCAGCTCAGGTCATGATCTCAGGGTCCTGGGATCAAGCCCCGCATCGGGCTCTCTGCTCGGTGGGGAGCCTGCTTCCCCCCTCTCTCTCTGCCTGCCTCTCTGCCTACTTGTGATCTCTGTCAAATAAATAAGTAAAATCTTAAAAACAAAAAAAAAAATACAGAGAAGTTGGAACCCTCACACACTGCTGGTGGGAATGGAAAATGGGACAGCCGCTCTGGAACCGTCTGGCAGATTCTGATAAAATTAAACAAGTTACCATTTGACCCAGCAGCTCCCCTCTGAGGTATATGCTCAAGAAAAGTAAAAACATGTGCACTCAATTAGTACACAAATATTTACAGCAGCATTATTCGTAATAGCCAAAATGTCCACCTTTAATAAACGGACAAAATGTCACGTATCTATAGAATGGAGTAGTCTTCAGCTATAAAAGGAACGAGGTGTTCACACGTGATGCTATGATGCGGATGAACCCTGAGAACGTGCTACGTGAAGGAAGCCAGTCGCATCGGACCAGGGACAGAATGAGGCCGGTTTCACGCAGTGTCTGCAGGAGCCACATCCAGAGCCGGACAGGAGCTGAGGGCTGCTTCGGGCTGGAGGGTGGGGAGAAGAGGGATGACAGCGAGAGGGGGTGGGATTTCTCTGAGGTGATGAAAATGTTCTGAAATTGGTGAAAAATCACTGAGTTATACACTTTAAACAGGTAATTTGTATGGTAAGTTATAGCTCAATAAACCCGTTACAGAAAAAAGGAAACGAGATTGGAGATGCAAGAACACCGGGCAAGGCGACAGGTAAGCGATACTGTAAACTGCGACTTTAGAAAGAACGAGACAAGGCAGGATACCAGGCAACAGCTGCGTGAACGGTGTGGAGGCGGGAGAAATGAGCGGAGCAGACCCAGTTCCTTCTGCTGTCTGTGCGGCGGTGAAGTCACCGATAAACACGAGACTCAAATGTGGACAAGGAACCACTACAGGGACGGAGAGAGAACGCGCAACTTCCAAACCAACAGAGCGAACACGCCGGGGCGCCTGGGTGGCTGTCGGCTGAGCGTCTGCCTTTGGCTCAGGTGCTCCCGGGGTCCTGGGATCGAGCCCCGCAGCAGGCTCCCCGCTCAGCGGAAAGGCTGCTTGTCCTCTATTTCTGCTGCATCCCTCCTCCCGACCCACCCCTCGGCTCGTGCTCTCTCAAACAAATCTTTAAAAAAACCCTGACAAGGAAAAGTAGGAAACTCTAGGCCCGGGGCCAAATCCAGGTCAGCACCTGGTTTTGTAAAGGCCGTTTTACTACAACGCAGCTGCCCTCCTTTAGGTTTGTCCGTGGCTGCCCCGAACTCCAAGGGCGCGCCGAGCAGGTGTAACGGGCCCGCCGGCCTGCAAGGTCTCCAGCAGCTACCGTCCGGCCCGTTCCCAAACAAGCGTGCGGGCTCCGGCTGCGAATTCTGCACAACAGAGAGCGAGGGTCTCTCTGGGCTGCGGCTTCCTGAGCCTCGGAATGAAGGCAGCAGCCCCTCGTCTCCCGTATCATCAGCGGCACAAAGCTCGACAAGTTCTTGCAAGAATCGTCTGCAGCCTCAGAACGTTCTCCCGCTGCTCCACCCCCCCTTCGCGGCCGCCCTCCTCAATTCCAACCGCCGGAGCCCGAGACCCTGACACAGGGAGGCAGAGCCGCACGCTCCGCTCGGACCCCGGCCGCACTCCGCCACACGGGCGCCGGCCCCCCGCACAGTGAGAGGCGGAAGGTCTGGAAAGACGCACGGCTGGGCACGGGCGTGGCTGCTCGGGCAGCAGCGCGGCTTCGCACGACAGGCTCGCTGTCTCACCTTCCATGAGGCTGGCTGAGGTAGCGGCAGGTTCACGTGCAGGTGTCAGACACAATGCAGAGATCCTGAGGACCCTTGACCGGGCCTCCCTCGGTGACATTTTGCCAAAAACTATACAGTGACCCAGACACACGCCACAATCTGATTCCAATCTGTGTGTGTGCGCGTGCACGAGTGTGGTCACACGTGTCGGTCCGCACATCTGCCACAGGGAGAGAGCACGCCCGTGACCACAGGGGTGCCTTGTGTTGCCCTTTTGCGGCCACAGCCACCTTCCTCCCACCGCCTCCCCAAACCGTGGCCGCCGTCAGCAGGCTCATTCCAACAGCACACAAACAGTCCCGGTGTGTGACCTTCTGGGCTGCCTTTGTCACTCCGCACAGCGCCCTGCAGACTCAGCCAGGTCGTCTGTGGCTCAGCCCCGCCCCCGTGTGCAAGCCGCCGGGCCACCCGCTGGTGGACACTGGGTTGTGTCCGGCGCTCAGGGCGTGTGAGCTCGAGCATTCCCTTCTCTGTGACACCTGCCCAGGGGTGAGAGGCCGGCGTGTAGGAGACGTGCAGGCTTAGTTCTGTGAGAAGCTGCCACTGCTTCCCCAGTGGTTTCCTGGTTTCCAGCATGGGTGTGAGACCCATTTCTCCACACCGGCACCCAGCCCCGTCCCAGCAGCACCCAGCCCTGGGCCAGTGCAGTGCGCGGTACAGCCACTCTGGTAGGTCTAGTGACGGCCTGAGTCTCTTACCACGAGATTCTGTTTATATATGAGGTTAAAAACTGAAGTTGAGAAGTAATCCATGTTTATCTGATGGCAATTATGAAAAATAGAGAAACGTATGAAAAAAATTCTGCTTCTCTTATAAAAGCAGGAGTGCCTGTCCCTAGTCCTAAATCGGCGCACCCAAGTCGTAGGCAACACGGGAGAATCTGGTGCAGAGACTCCACGTCTGGATCTCTCCCCACCCCGAGCACCTCAGAGCATTCCCCACGACCTCCTCCGTCCTCTTCCTCGATGCTGTGACAGCTGTACGAGAGGGAGCGGCCCAAGCCAAGTGGGGACCAGACATAAGGTGGGGACCAGCACGGGTGGCCCACAGAGAGACGGCCACTCGGCTGGGCATCCCTCTGCCCCTCACTCCCGCTAGAGGCTCCCTGACTGCACTGGTGTTCAGCAAAACTGACAGCCCAGTGAAGCCTCTGGATCTCTCTCAGAATGAGATTTTTAAATGCAGAAGATAAACAGCAAAATGACTCTATCAAATACCAGAATATTTTTTTAAAACAGTATGTGACACAGTCCCACACCACAAAACCTCAGGAGTGATGACCAAAGGTAGTGCAAGATGTGCGTAGCCACTACTGTGAGAAATGAATAGGTCTGCTTCCCTCAGCGGCGAAGTCGGGGGTCCTGCTGACCCAAAGGTGGTTGTCGCCACATTCACAAAGGAGGAGATGCTGCATTTCAGAGATTACTGAAAATAAAGATGCGGTTTTCTTGCTATCCACGTCCAGTGAGTCTCTGACTCCCCATAGAGCAGGACTAGGGCTGGGGGAGCCTCCCACGCATGGACACGGGTGGCATCGGGCCCCCTGCGAGGGCCGCAGGGGGAGGGAAGGCTGCTGAGAAGGAAGTGCAGAGTGGCGGCCCTGGGTCCTGGCCCCCCACACAGGGTGGGAGAGGGCTGGGTCCAGGTGGGCCAGAGCCTTCGGGAAGAAGGGAGATCTCCCTGAGAGCTAAGGTTCTGGGTCACCACCTGTGTGAGTCACCTGAGGGAAACAGCCATGTTTTTTTTTTTAACTCCTCAGTTTTTCTGCTTTAAGCCCCCGGGGCAGGTAATGAGAAACGACATGTCTTAGGAAAGCCCTAAGTTACTGTTAAGAGCCTAGAGAGCGCAAAGTGTTTCCAGAAAGGTCTGCCCACCTTCGTCAGAGCAAAGGCCACTGTCCCATCGTCCTCAGTGGAAAGATCAAGCAGCTTCTGATAAAACGCTTCATCATAAGGCCCATCTATTTGCAACGTTTTTCTGGAAGAGAAAGCACAAAAAAGGATGGCAAAGCTGCCTGGAAACGGTTTCTCGAGTAACAATTTAACACTCACACATCTGCCTTAAACATCTCAAAGGTCCACCTCTTCCTAACACCAAGCTTCGTTCTGAAGCAGCAATTTTAGACCGGGGCGGCGGGGGGCGGATGGCTCCAGGTCAACCTGGCCACAAGTCTGGCCGGCGGTGGAGCAGCACTGCCCCCTGCAGGCTCAGCTGACACAGGACAGGGGACCGCAGGCCCGCGGTGGCAGGATGGGTGGTCCTCCTGCTGGGGTGGCCCCTTCCCCATCCCCGTCTTGCCCTCAGGAATGCTCAGGGCCCACTCAGCCTAGCAAGAGCAGGGGTGCCGAGGGCCTGGGCCTCACCTCTCCTCAGGAAACTCCTCCAGGTACCGTTCGACCCGCCGGTACAAAGGGTAGAGGCCTTCGATGTCCAACAGGTCCAACATCTGCACCTGGAGGGTTTTGTACAGAAGACAGCCCTTCGGTAACCCCGAGCACTCCGGGCTGTTTTTTCCTACCAAGAACATCGGGAAAACAAGAGGTTTACCGTCAAGGACTGAAGAGAGCCTGGGCACGGGCCACACCCTGCCTCACGGAGCTGCTGGGGCACAGGGCCGGGTGCCAGAGACAGGCAGGGGACCTGTGTGTCACTCTGTGCTGCTCCCTCTCGAAGGCTTTCGGCTCATCACAGCAGCCCAGGCTTCAGTGCAGACACAGCTCTCGGTCTGGATTAGCCAGGCACAAAAATTTAAAATGCCCACACCGACGTCCCCAAATCTGTGAGGCCGTGTCTGCAGAGCCCAGAGCCACAGCCCATGCTGACAGGTGGGTGGCCACACGGGACGGCAGTCATAGCCGCCGCCGATAAACCCACAGCACGGAGCCGTCATCACAGGGTCAGCATGGCACCAAGTCCGTTTCAGCTCCAAGCGTCACACACAGTCCCGGGTGTGCACCAGGTGCCACGTGGGCTGGGGAGACAGGGTCCCGGCCCATGTCTCCCTCGTGAAGGGGGCAGCCATGTACAGTACAGACTCTGACCTCTGACCCCCCACTGCAGGCTGGACACGCTCAGCCACAGGACACACGGTGAAAACACAGAAACCAGCTGGGGGCATTTGCTGAAATTACAGGCCATGCGGACAGGGAGATACCTACCTCCTGGTCAATAAAAATTCAAAAAATACAACTGCAGACACACATTTGGCCATTAGGCAAAAATATGAGATTACAAAGCGTGTAGAGCGTGATTTGTCATCCTGGACTGCACGTCCCGTGGGGCATGCTTGTGTCAGCCTCTGTGTCCAGGGAAGCCCTGAAGAAAAGTCCCAGGAGCCAGGGGTGCCTCAGCATCTATCAGTGTCCTCCCAGACACATTGTGTCATCTACTTCGGAGCCCCAATAACGGGCATAATTCTACCACAATTAAATGATCGAGTATCGCTTTTTTAAGAAAGTCACAAGGGGCACCTGAGTGGCTCATTCAGTTAAGCGTCTGCCTTTGTTTGGCTCAGGTCACGATCCCAGGGTTCTGGGATTAAGTCCCACATCGGGCTCTCTGCTCAGGGAGCCTGCTTCTCCCTCTCCCTCTGCCTCTGCTCCTCCCCCTGCTCATGTGCACACTCTTTCTCTCAAATAAATAAAATCTCGGTGGCTCAGTGGGTTAAAGCCTCTGCCTTCAGCTCAGGTCATGATCTCAGGGTCCTGGGATTAAGCCCCACATCGCGCTCTCTGCTCAGCGGGCAGCCTGCTTCCTCCTCTCTCTCTGCCTGCCTCTCTGCCTACTTGTGATCCCTGTCTGTGTCAAATAAATAAATAAAATCTTTAAAAAAAAAAAAAAAAAGAAGAAGAAAGCCACAAAATTCATTTGTGCTAAGAAAAATCTGGCACGAGGGGCAGTCCATGGGACAGGCCGTGCCCAGGGAGCTGCCCGGCACACACGGCAGCATGAGAAGCCGCAGGGCCGTGGTCCCCCAGCACCACCCCAGCAGCAGCCACGAGGGACCACAGGGCCTTCAGCCCGAAGCGCAAATGATCTGAGTCTTCCTTGTCAGCCCCTGAAGGAAGCTCCCGGTGACAGCACCACATGGCACAGGTCTGTGCATGGCGTGGAGCCCGCCAGCAGACGGCCAAGACACAAACGAAGAGGCTGGGAACGTGCAGGGCAAAACCCAAACCCACCGCCGCTGGGCTGCCTCGAGGCCGGGACGCCCACGGAGTCACAGCCAGCCCACTGGCAAGTGGGAGGTGCAAGGGCCACCCCACCCCAAAGGGCCCGGAGCTATGGGACTCGGGCCCTCCGAGACCCGGCTCTCCCCCCCGCCGGGGAAAACCTGCCCCACAGGGTGGCCGTGCCGACGAGCCGGGGTCGCAGGGAAACTGCTCCGCCAGCTACAGAGGACGCACAGAGCCGGCGGTTTAGGGAAAACCCTACAGCCCGGATAAAGGATGAGGCCGGGAGTCTCGCCGGCAGGGCTGGGAGGCAGAGAAAACCCCAGGCTGCTCCCGCAAGAGCTCCGTGAGGCCAGGCAGGCCCCTGGCATTCCCGCCCCCCTCTGCCCACCCCGTGCCCGGCGTGGCTTACCTTGGCGGTGCAGGCTCCTGCCAAAGGGGCTGGCTTCACAGACACGAGGTCCCCATGGCGCAGGCCCCCGCCTCAGGGCACCCGCCCGGCCCTTGTCCGAGCCGCTCAGCAGCACCCGCGTGATGACCCGCACCAGCTCCCGGATCACAGCCCTGGTGCAGTGGGGCCCGCCGGCCAGGCCGTTGGAAGGGAAGAAGAAGGGCTTCAGGTGGTGCGCGAGCTCGTTCCAGTCCGCCACGGGGCTGCGGGCGTCCGCGCAGCCGTAGATCAGCTCCCCGTTCTGCGGGCGGGGGACAGACGGGGAGATGTCAACTCCACGGGGGGCGGCGGGCAGGACACCTTTGTCTTTGCCCGCAGGGACCCAACACCCTACATCCACGCCGTCTGGGGCCCTGCACACCATGGCCCCTCTGGGGGAACACACCGTCACACACTGTGTCGCTGGCCAAGATGCAAATCCCACTAGAATGTGGAACAGAACGAATGTTCTCAGAAACCAAAGACTGGTCCTGGCCTAAAATATGAAGCCTCAGGAGAACATGCACCACACTGGGCCTCAGGCAAACACAGCCCAGAGCCCCCAAAGACCCCCCAGCCTGTTACCCGAGAAGCCATGGGACACCCGTGCTCCTGAGGACACACAGTGTCAGTCTGACCCCAAGCAGGCAAACTTCTTGGTAAATGTGGGTATCCGTTGGCCACCCGCACCTTGAGGACTTCTGTCCTCCCCGACGGGCTGGGCCACACTTCCTGCCAGGGCGGGCGAGGCCCGCGTCCCCAGCATGGACCATATCGTCCCCAAGGCCATCCTGCCTTTCGAAACCAAGTCTGTCAAAGACACTTCCATGCCACCAGCATTCCCAGAGCTGCGAGCAGGGCTGCCCAGTGCGCTGACCCTGTGACCCCTGAGGGACCCCACTCCCCACACACCTGAACAGCAGCCAACCATGGCAAAGTGACCAATTCCTTGTCCCCTGATTCCCTCATCTGAGGAATGGTGTGGTTAGCAGTCTCCGGCCAGTCCCCAGTGGTCCCAGCACTCACACCGTGTAGCCCTCTCCCCACGGTGGAGTGAGAGCAACAGCCCAGTCCTGGCAAAACCATGTTATAAAAGATGCTACGCCTCCCTCTCAAGCCGCTCTTCTCAAGCCACAATGCCTCGCTCAGCAGCCCCCGGGGCACCCACCGCTACCCCTGCCCAAGCCAGGAACCAAGGCGTCCTGCCCACACCATTAAGGACACCATCCTGGGAGCCCAGCCTCAGGCCCTAGCCAAACTGTCAGAGAGGACACGGCCTCAAGGGGCACCCAGAGGCAGCGCCAACTAAGCTGCTCAATTCCAGACCACAGAAACCGTGAGGGCCGGTGGAGCACAGAGGAGGACAGTCACTGCCCTGTCCCCAGGTGGCACATGGGTTTCAATTCAGTCCATGACGTGTGGACTGGGCATTCGTCGCTCATCCGGGCCCTGGGATGCAGGGGTGTGCATGATGCCTCCCAGGGGGGTCTCCTGTCACATGTCGGAGCAGGAGGCACACAACTGAGGTCACCGCTGGCCAAGGGAGCCAGGGAAGCCATCCCGAGAAAACTGACCCCGAGATGGGTCTAACAGCAGGAAGAAGGAGTGCCAGGCAAAGGGCCCGCGGGAGTTCCTGGTAGGGAAGGAAACCAAGGCGAAGTGTTCAGCGAAACCGGGCACTGGGGGCTGCCACCAAGAGAGGGGCCGGGGCTGGGACCGTCGTCTGGTGCAGGAGCCATGGCCCATGAAGGTTCCCCCTCCAGGCCTGGGAGCTGCTGAGAGAGCGGAACCCTCTTCTCCCCAGGGTCCAACTCCACGCAAGGACAGATGACTGTGACATCAGTGGAGTGCCAGCGTCCCCGGCTCCATGACAAGGCGCCATGTCCCCCACGTCTCACAAGCGTCCCGGTTGGGTAGACAGGGCCACAGCTTTGGGGGTCTGTGCAGAGCCCTCGGGCACACAGGGAAGAAGCTCCCAGAGCGGGCAGTGGTGGTACTGGCCGAAGCCAGGAAACAGCCCACACCTGACCTTGAAAACCAAAGCCTGGCTCCAGAGCGACGACGGCAGGTCCAGAACGCGCACTGTCACTCCAGTGAGTGTTCTGAAAAGCCATGCATGTCACTTCTCTCAATCCCGGCCCCAGGGCAGGCCCGGTCAGCAAAGGACCCGCCAGGAAAACCACCCACCCTACTAAAGGTTCCAAATCAATCCCCAGAGGAAAGAGAATTCATCTTTGGGATGGAAATGGAAAATCTCTTCCATCTTTGTAACAATTAAAAATAAAAACTGCTGCGAAAGAGGCTCTTCCTCTAGCTCTGGGAAGGGGGAGGCAGACGGGCTCAAGCCCATTCACTCCGACCAGACTTCTGAGCCAAATCGGGGAAACCAAGTCAAGAAGAGCCTCCCTGCCCACAGTCCCCGGCTTGGTCTGAGGGGCCTCCGTGGGCAGAGCAGCGCCGTCCACCAGGAGTAGGACGCAGAGGGCGCAAGGCTGTCCAGACAGAAAAGCCCCCCTTCTCCACGCAGACACAGCGCTCGTGAGCCCAGACCAGGCCACAGAGCCACACGAACCACTTACTGGGGACACAGCCGGGGCAAGGGGCAGTGTCCATGCAAAGAAGAAAAGGAAATGGCCGGAGGCCCCGAGCGGACACGTTTCCAACGCAGGCCACACTGAACCCTCCTCCAGCTCTGGGCCTGCCCTGCCCCCTCCACGGAGACCCTGCCCCTGCCTGCAGCCGACCACAGGGTCTCAGGGAGTCGGGTCAGGGAGCCCACAGATGGCAGAGAAGGAGCCGGAGGGCGACCACTCCTTGTGCAAAAGCCTGTCCGCACGCGGCCAGGAGCCCCAGAGCCGCTGAGATTTCACTCACTGACAAGATCAGGGAATTACACGTTCCCTAAATCACCCGCAAACCAAGGCCCAGGTGTGGCCGCCTTCTCAGAGGTGCACAGAGGGACCCCTGGGACACAGCCTGATGGCCTCGGGGCCGTCCTGTCCCAGGACCAGAGCTGGGCTGTGTGCATCCAGGGAGCCAAAGCTGCCTGGTGGCCCAGGAGCTAACGTCCCACACTCTAGGGGTCACAGGATGCCACGCCTGTAGGACGAGGCTTGGAGAGGACCAAAGCACTTTGCACCAAGGCAGCCCCAGCCCAGATGCCCGCATCTACCAGTACTAAAGCACCACCAGTTGGCCCAACCCAGTGTGGACACCCACTGCCTTCTGCTGAAACGCCACGGAAGAGAGGCCACGCTCACCTTAAATATCTTTAAGTTGTTCTGAGCTTCCCGTAACAGGCTCTTCAAGGCAAAGTGCATTCTCTGCTTATTTCTAAAAAGAAAGACACTATGGATAGAATTACAAGAAGCCTTTGCTTTCACCTACCTGTGGCTCAGGGGACCAGACGCAGGGGACGTGCCTATGTGGGCTGCTTGGAGGCTTCATTCAGGCTCTGGGGGCTAAGGAGCCACATGCCCCCAGCCTTTCTCAGGGAGCCCCCTTCACTGCCCCAACCCCCCTCCGCTCCCCAGCCGCTGCCTCCCACAGCTGAGCCGACCCCAGGCAAGAACCCTGCGTTCTGCCCAGGACCCTGGCTGCCTGCCGGTTAGTGGCCCCCTCCCCCACACCTCCACCCCCACGAAAGGCCCTGAGGACAAAGGAGAAGTGTTCTCTTACCCTGAGTAGAGGTCGAGGGGACAGTATTTGCTTATCTGCTTCCACTTCCCGGTTGCCACCTGTTAAGAAAGCACAAGCGCCATAAATGACCGGCTGGGGCAGCACGGGGCCCACGTTCTGTGAGAGGACGAGGGTGCAGAAGGTCCCCGTGGAGGCCGGCACCTCCAGGGGCACATTGTCACTAGCCACGGCCAGGGCTTGACTGCCACCCCAGGGACCCTCAGTCCCCCCACCGAGCCTCAGGTGGCTGCCGGCCTAGCCCTCCCCATGAGCAGGGGCAGTGGCAGCACATGGTCTCACAAAACGACAAAGCCACATTCTGGTCATCAGATGAACAAATCTTTATAACTGTAATATTCAGGAAGAGGAGAGTGTAGCTCATAATTTCATGTTTGAGGGGAGAAGATAAATCGGCACAACCTTCCGAAATTCAACTTGCTAGTTTCCATCAAAATTTCTTTTTCTTTAAGACTTTTTATTTCTTTATTTGACAGAGGGGGGAACACAAACAGGGGGAGTAAGAGAGGGAGAAGCAGGCTTCCCGCCGAGCAGAGAGCCCGATGTGGGGCTCGACCCCAGGACCCTAGGATCATGACCTGAGCCAAAGGCAGACGCTTAACAACCGAGCCACCCAGGCGCCCCTCCATCAAATGTCAATGTGGGCATCCCCTGACTTGGCAAACCTATGAGGAGTCATGAGATCAAGGACGTTCACTGCAGTCTGACTGTACTAGTGAGGCCTGGAAACAACTTCACAGGCTTCTGCTCTCATGGGCCAGGAAGTAGAAGTCTGCATGCTCATGATGGAATGAATGAACGATATCTAGCTACTTACAGAAAGAGGCAAAAACGAAAAATCACCAACATTTATTCAAGGAAAAAGGCAATCTGCATAAACGAAAATGATGTTACTTTGCTTAAAAAAAAAAAAAGTGGGCCTCCATAGGTGCATATACCCAAATACACATTGAAAAAGCCTTGAAGGATACACAATAAGCAATCCTCAAGGGTTAGTTAAGTGAAAAGAGCAATTAGCAAAAAGACTATATATGGCGAGGTCCCATATTTGCTTTATAGAAGTACATGTGTACATGTACAGGTAAGCACGCACCAGAACAGATGTGGGAAAGGCATCATCTCATTTCCACCTGGATAACATGTATTATTTGTGTTGGCACCAAGAGAAGTCTGGAAGGATGTACCAACTGACAACACGGGTTACCTCTGGGAAATCCCATATTTTATCAGTTAAATGCACAGGTTATTGCTTCACAGTAAAAACCAGTCTTAAAATAGCCATCAACTGAACGGTGACAATGAAGACCATCTCCTAAAGGGAATAGCTGACATACCATCTTTTCCCGAAGAGTCTGGAAAGTTTTAAAACCACAAAGATGGGGGCACCTGGGTGGCTCAGTGGGTTAAGCCTCTGCCTTCAACTCAGGTCATTATCTCAGGGTCCTGGGACTGAGCCCCGAATCGGGCTCTCTGCTCAGCAGGGAGCCTGCTTCCCCCCTCTCTCTCTCTGTCTGTCTCTCTGCCTACCTGTGATCTCTCTCTGTCAAATAAATAAAAGCTTTAAAACAACAACAACAACAAAAAAAAAAAACCAAAAAAAAAAAAAAAAAACCACCACAAAGATGGAGCGCATTAGCAAAAATTATGGAATGAATACCTCTGGAAATTCTTTCCTCCGTGAGGGCAATGAGAAAACTGGCAAAAACTGTCAGAATCAAAATTTCAGAATTCTGAAAATTAACCAAAGGCTTGCAACAATCTGGGAGCATTTACTCAAGAAAAATGGCCAAATCTAGGAATAGTGAGCTTTGTGGCATTTTTAATGCTCTCTTCCCACCCTTCTCTCTAGCTCCAAGGAAACCTTAAAAATCAACACCCCCACTCCTGGTGAAAACGGAGCCTGCCAGCCACCAGAGGGGGCTGAACCAGGCACGAGTTTCTCCAAACCCTCATTGCCAAAGAATGGTCATTATGTCAACTATCTCTTGATTTCCCATCTTTGTTACCTGATTCAGTTCACCAAGTGCAAAAGGGGCATTTTCCCAAGAGGCGTTTGTGAAAAGGGTCAGAGGCAATTGTTTAACTTCATGGCTACCTAAGACAGTGGGTAACAATGCGATAAAAAGTTACGGCAAACAATTAGACTAACCTAAAGCTGAAAAAAGAAAAAGCTGAGGAATGAGATATACAGAGGCTTTAGAAACCTTCAGCACAACCTGGCCATCTAGAAGGCCATGCACAGGCTCTGGAAAGACCTTAAAACACCCTCACCTTCTGCTGATCTGAGGTTCTGAGGAAGTGAAGGCTAAGTAAAGCTGCACCCGCCATGCCGAGTGTTGAGGGTGGGCCCCGTATGCACACAGAGCCCCTCAGCAGAGACTTACTAGTCACAGATATTCAGGAAAATCTCAGTGCTGAAAACGGTCAACCAAGAGTTCTTCATCTACAAAACTATCCTTTAAAATGAAGGAGTGGGAGGCACCTGGGTGGCTCAGTGGGTTAAAGCCTCTGCCTTCGGCTCAGGTCATGATCCCAGGGTCCTGGGATCAAGCCCTACATCGGGCTCCCTGCTCAGTGGGGAGTCTGCTTCTTCTCTCCCTCTGCTGCTCTGCCCTGTTTGTGCTCTCTCACTCTCTCTGTCAAATAAATAAATAAAATTTTTTAAAAATAAATAAAATAAAATAAAATAAGATGAAGGAGTGATTAAGACACTGCCAGATAAACAACTAAAAGAATTTGTTGTTAGCTAACCTGCCCTTCAGGAAATAGTACGGGAAACCTTGAGGATGACACGAAAGGGCACTAGACAGTAACCTGCATCCATGTGAAGAAACAACACAGCAGTAAAGGAACTACACAGCTAGATAAACATAAAAGACAATATAAATATATTCTGTTTCTAAGTTTTTTATCCTATCCCCTTTAAAGATAGAATATCCCTTGTATGGCACACGGCAATCGCCAGGAATCCGTACTGACAAGCATAACTATATATAGATTAATTTGTGAGGGAGAAGGCAACAAAGCTACAAGAAGCAGGGTTTTTGTACAACAGTGAAATTAAGTTGGTATTAACTGAGCTAGACTGTTTAGCTTAAGATGTTAAATTACTGATTGAGTAGAAAAAAACAACAAAACAGATGACTTGAACCACACTCTAAACCAACCAGACCTAACAAACATCCATAGGACACTCTACCCAGCAACAGCAGAACACACCTTCTGATCAAGCGAACATGAACATTCTCCAGGAGGCATGAAGTCATGCAAATATTCTCCAAACTCAGTGCAACTAAATTAGAAATCAATAGCAAAAAAGAGAGAGAGAGAGAAACTCACAAATATGAGAAATCTAAACACATTCCTAATCATCAATGAGTCAAAGAAGAAATCCACAGGGAAATCAGAAAATTGAGACAGAATGAAAATGCAACATACCAATGCTCTCTCCTGCAGAGAGAGCAGGAATTACATGGAAATTTATAATTATAAACATGCATATAAAAAAGAAAAAAATCTCAAATCAATAATCTACATTTCTACACTAACAAACTAGAAAAGTTAGGCCAATCTAAATCCAATGCAGAGAGAGGGAAGGAAATAGTAAAGATTAGTGCAGGGACAGATGATATGAAGAAGAGGGAGAAAAAAATGAAGAAAAAGAACAAAACCGTAAGTTGTTTCTTTGAAAAGATCAACAATTATTACAATCCTTTGGCTAGATCAAGAAAAATGATTAAAAAAAGAAATGAGGGGCACCTGGGTGGCCCAGTGGGTTAAAACCTCTGCCTTCGGCTCAGGTCATTATCTCAGGGTCCTGGGATCGAGCCCTGAATCGGGCTCTCTGCTCAGCGGGGAGCCTGCTTCCTCCTCTCTCTCTCTCTGCCTGCCTCCGTGCCTACTTGTGATCTCTGTCAAATAAATAAATAAAATCTTTAAAAAGAAAAATGAAAGAAAGGATGTTACTACCAACCTTGCAGAAATAAAAAAGAATTTTAGAGGAATATTATGAACAAGCAAATTAGATGAAATGCACAAAATCTTAGAAACACACAACTACCACAACTGAGTCAGGAAGAAATAAGAGAATCTGAACAGAATAATAAAAGACTGAATCAGTAAGCAAAAACCTTCCAACAAAGGAAACCCCAGGACCAGATGACTTCACTAATTAATTCTACCAAATGACTGAAGAAGAATCAACACTGACAGTCAAACTCTTCCAAAGAATTAGAGTAGAAGGGAGAGGAGGGAACACTTCCTAAGTCATTCTATGAAGCCAGTTATCACCCTGGTACCAAAACCAGATAAAACATCACTAGAAAATACAGCAGGCCAGTATCTCTTAAGAAAAAACCTTCAATAAAAACAGTAAAAACTAACAAATCACATTTAGCAGCACATTTAAGGGATTATACAGCTATAATAAAGTGGGATTTACCCCAGAAATACAAGGGTGGTTCAACATACAAAAATCAATGTAACAGACCACACTGATGGAGAGGAAAGCACCCCCTGAGCATCCCATAGATGGAGGACAAAATCTAACATTCTTTCAGGATTTAAACAAAACAAAAAAAAAAAAAAACCTCAAAAGCAGCATCTATGACCAGCTCATGGTCATACTACACTCAGTGATGAAAAACTGAGAGCTTCTGCCTGAGATCAGGAACATGATAAGGATGTCCGCTCTTGCTTCCTCTACACGGTATCATACTGCATGCTAACCAGATGAATTAGGGAAGAAAAACAAAGGACACCCAGATTGGAAAGAACAAAGTAAAATTATCGCTATTTGCAAGTGATGTGATCATGTGTACAGAAAATCCCAAAAAACTACCACCACAAAAAAAAAAAAAAAAAAAAAAAAAAAAAAAGAAAAAAACAGGTTCATGGGGGTGACCGGGTATCACTGTACAACAACTACATTTGTCACCTCACCCCCATTAGAGTGGCTACTATCGGAAACAAACCAGCAAGTGCTGGTTAAGAGTGCGGGGAAAGTGGGACTTTGAGATGCCCTGGCGGGAATGTAAATGGCACAGGTGCTGTGGAAAACAGCAGAAAACAAGGTCCCCGTGTGACCAACAATCCTACTTCTGGGTAAACAGTCATGAGAGCTGAAAGCAAACTCAGAGGCGTTTGCACACCCGTGTTCACAGGAGCATTATTCACAAAAGCCAAAAGATAGAAACAACACGGCGTCTACCACTGGATAAATGGATTAAAAATGTGGTATATGTATATATGTTCAACAGACTATTATTCAGTCTTAAAAAGGAAGGAAATTCCGACATATTTCACAACGTGGATGAACCCTGAGAACAAGTAAAATGAGTCAGTCACAAAAGGATGAATCCTGGATAATTCCGTTTACGGAAGCACCAACAGTAGAGAAATCCACGGAGGCAGAAACTGGCGTGGGGCTTGCCTGGGGCTGAGGAAAGGAAGCGTGGAGCTGTTTAACGGGGACAGAGTCGCAGTGTGGGATGATGAGAAGTTCTGGAGATGGCCGGTGGCGAGGGCTGCACACCCATGTAGCTTAATGGTTATAAGTTTTATGTTATGTGTCTTTCACCACAATTAACACTATGTATTTTCAAAATCAATTATATTTCTCTGCAATAACCTGAAAAATGAAATGAAAAAAAAAAATACCACTCACAACAGCCTCCAAAATAATAAAACACCTAAGGATAAACTTAACAAAAGACGTGTAAGACTAACACCCTGGAAACTATAAAATACCACTGAATGAAATTAAAATCCTAAGTAAATGGAAAAACATCCTGTGTGCACAGAACACGGATACAGGCAAGGTGGTGATGCCTCCCACAGGGATCTGCAATTCAGGGGATCCCCAAACCCCCAGCTGGTTTCTCTGACGAAACTGAGAGGCTAAAGACATCCAAATTAGAAGAGAAATAAAACTCTGTTCATAGATGGCATGATGTATACGTAGAAAATTCCGAAGAATCTACAAGAAAAGCCACTCAGCAAAGCTGCAGGGTAAAAGATCAACCCACAAAAATGATGTTTCAGGGTTTCTGGCTGGCTCAGTCAGTGAAGCATCTGCCTTCGGCTCACATCATGGTCCCGGGGTCCTGGGATCGAGCCCTGGGGTTAGGCTCCATGCTCAGTGGGGAGTCAGTTTCTCCCTCTGCTTGTGCTCGCTCTCTCGTTCTCTCAAATAAATGCATAAAATCTTCAAAAAAAACCTAGTTGTGTTTCTATGCTACCAGCAATAAATAGTCTAAGAAGAAAATTAAAGAAGTAATTCTGTTTATAATCATATTTACAATATCCTAAAAGATTATCTACAATTACCGAAGTGGTGAAAGACTTGTGCCCTCGAAGCTATAAAACGTTGCTAGAAGACATTTAAAAGTCCTAAGTAAGTGGGGCACCTGGGTAGCTCAGTGGGTTAAGCCTCTGCCTTCATCTCAGGTCACGATCTTGGGGTCCTGGGATCGAGCCCTGCATTGTGCTCTCTGCTCAGCGGGGAGCCTGCTTCCCCCTCTCTGTCTCTGTCTCTCTGCCTACTTGTGATTTCTCTCTGTCAAATATATAAAATCTTTTAAAATTTTTTAAAAATAAAATAAAAGTCCTAAGTAAGTGGGCAAATAGCCTGTGTTTATGGGTTATAAGTCCTAATACTGTTAAGACGGCAGTACCACCCGAAGTGATCCACACATTCCTGCAGTTTCTGTCAAAATCCCAATAATTTTTTTTTTTTTTTGTAGAAATGAAAAACCCAATCCTCAAATTCATATGTAACTATAAGGAGTCCCAAAAAGCCAAAACAATCTTAAAAAAGAAGAACAAAGCTAGAAGACTCAAACTTCCTGATTTCAAAACTGACAGCAAAGCTACAGAATCAAGTAAAGGGCTGCGCCGGCATAAGGACAGACAACAGGCCAATGGACCAGAACAGAGAGCCCAGGATGGAACCACACTTATAGCCAAAAGATCTCTGATAAGAAGACCATTCAACGGAGAGAGGACGGTCTTTTTAACAAATGGTGCTGGAAAACTGGAATCAGATACAAAAGAAACTGGACCCCTACCTCCCTTCAAATATAAAAATTAACAAAAATGAATCAAAACCGGAGAAGAAAAGCTTCATGACCTTGGATGAGGCAATGATTTCTTAGCTATGGCACCAAAAGCACAGGCAACAAAAGAAGAAATGAACTATAACTTCAGTAGAATTAAAAACATTTGTGTATCAGAGGACACTATCAACAGAGTGAAAAGATAACTGACAGAATGGGAGAAGATACTTGCTAATCACAGAACTGATCAAGGATTATATCCAAAATATACACAGAACCCTTAAAACTCAACAACAAAAAAATAACCCAATTCAAAAATGGGCAAAGGACTTGATCCAATATATCTCAAAAGAAAACATACAAATGGCCCATGAGCCCATGACAAGGTCTGCAGCGTCACGAACCGTTAGGGAAACGCAGACGGAAACCACAGTGATCCCTAGGGTCCCCGGCAATCACACACAGGGACAACAGCAAGGCTGGCAAGGGTGTGGAGCGATCAGACCGTCAGACACCGCTGGTGGGAACAAAAAATGGTGCAAGAGCTGGGGAAATAGCTCGACATTTGCTCAAAAAATCAAACAGACCCAGCAATTCCACTCCTAGGACTCAGCCCGCGAGAACGGAAAGCTGCGACTCAAACAAGCACATGTACGCACGCGGTCACAGCAGCCCAAAGGCAGAAATGACCCACGTGCCAGGAGAGGAGCGATCGACAAGATGGTCCCATTCAGGCAAGAGCGTTCAAGCCTGCTGCAGTGGGGCTAAAAGCCCAAAACCATGCTACTCGGGGGAGAAGCCAGTCACAAAGGGGCCATGGGATGCACGATTCCATTTCCAGGAAACGTCCGGGAGAGGCCAACACACAAGGGCAAGCTGGAGGGGATACTGCAGAGTGACTGTGATGGGGTCAGCATTCTCTGGGAGGTGACGAAGTGATTCTGGAATGTAAGTTATGATGGAAGTACCATCATGCGAATTTACTAAAATCCACTGAATTACACACTTTAAACAGGTGAACTGAAGATTTGTGAACTTACCTCAATTTGGAGAAAAAAAAAAAAAAAAAAAAAAAGGTGAACATGAACGACTTATGAAAGAGAAGGCCAGTAAGAAGTGTCCCCGCCTTGCTCTCTGATGCCTCAGCTCCGGGGGTCACGGGGCCCCCCAGGCTGCGCGCACCGAGGCGCCTTACCTTGAGGTGCTGGTGCATACAGTAGCGGCATATGCGGTGCTTCAGCTCATGTGTCACGGCGCCGCAGAGAGGAATAAACCCACATTTGGGCTGCAAGACACGAGGACGGAAAAAACACTTAGGGACCGATCCCACACCTTCCAAGAGACCCGATGATGGAGCGGATACAGGAGACGCGGGACAGAGTTGCTGTATCCGCAGCCCCGGTGGGCAGGGACCCCGCCCTCATCATCACACCCAGTCCTCGCCCTGCCCGGCCTCCATCACGGACTAGACAAAGCACAACACAGAGCAGCTTCGCATTTCTTCCGTGACAGGCTGCGACGGGAAAGCCTCTAGTGTGGGTCTGCCCCAGCCCCCAGCTCTGTTACTATCTTTGATTTATTTTTATTTATTTTTTTGAGAGAGCGTGCGCCTGTGCACATGTGGCCAGGGAACGGGGACAGGGGCAGAGGGAGAATCTTAAGCAGGCTCCACAGTCAGCACAGTGCCCGACAAAGGGCTCAACCCCGTGACCCCAAGATCATGACATAGAGGAAATCAAGAGTTGGACACTTAACCAACTCAGCCACCCAGGCGCCCCTATCTGCTGCCTTTTAAGACCACAGTGTTGGGGCTCTGAAGACGATGCTGCCTGTCATCTGAGACACAGGACACTCGCCCTCTGGTCGGCAAGCAGGACATCAGTCCACACGGAGCCCCCGGGGATGTGAGTGCTCAGGGCCACAGGAGTGACCCAGGAATCACTGCCACAGAAGTTTGGAGGAGGGGACAAACAATGGCCTGGGACCTCTGGGAGACTTCCCGAGGGGTACATGGGCACAGTGGGCAGCAGAGCTAAAGCCAGGCTCTGGCCCTCGTCCACCGAGAGTCACACCAGCTTCTGGGCCTCTGGGGAGGTCTCTCCTGAGTAGGAAGCAAAGGAGCGGAGAGCCACCAATAAGACGGGCCCCAGCGGAACAGAGCTCCTGGAGTATGGTGTAGGGTCACCCAGCAGCCAAGGGGCACAGCTTGGAAGGAGGTGAGGAGGGGCCCAGGGAGCAGTACCCTCCCAGGAAAACGGGGAGGGCAGAACCTGACACACTTGCTTCTGCCGGTGGCCACCGGCCAGCTCCACATCAGAGCACCAGGAACGGGCCTAAATCTAACGGTCTGGCCAGTGGGAGGAAGCAGAGCACCAAGGTGCAGGTGAGAGAAGGAGCTGGAAGCAAGCCCAATCTGTGGGAGCTGGGGGCTGGGAAGGGGCCGTGAGGCCCAGTGTGGGGAACCCCAAGAACTTGTACTGTAAAGTTCACTCCAGGCAGAAGACTCGTGGCTTTACAGTCCGGACCCTTGTTCCCTTGCCCCGCACCACCTTCCCCTTGACACAAGCTCACCTTGATCTCCACACACAGAATTGGCCGGTGCTCTGCAAAACGGTAGGTCTGAAGTCTGGCTAAGTTTGGAAGGCACAGGGCATAGCCACTGAGAGTGTCTAGGTCCTTGTCACAGCGAGATTCTGAAAGACAGAGCCAAGAAGAGACCTGAGAGACGAGCACAGGACAGACGAGATGACCAATGGCAACATGGCAGATTCCTGTGGGGGAAGGTTCAGCCCTGCCCGAGAGAGGCCATGGCCTCTCGGGCTCCTGGGGGGCCCCGCCTAAGGAGCCTCCGTGTTTATCTGGGGGCTCCCAGTCAGGCGAGTATAACACTGTGATTCACAGCAGGGGTCCGGGCCCGGCAGAACCGGCTCCCCCTTCAGAGGGGCGGCCCGCCGTGTGGGTGCACCCCAGCCCCGACCCCGGCTGGCACCCCCCACTCCACGCGGTCACACCTTGCTGCTTGGAGAAGCGAGCAGTGCACGCACAAGCCCAGTGGAGAAGCCACCCGGGAGCGCATGCAGGGTCTCACAGATGCGCCGCAGAGCCTCTCCCCTGGTCTGGGTGTCATCTGCGTCCCTCAGTGTGAGAAGCCTTAGTCATAAAGATAACGGGGAGTTCAGGTCCTTCTAGCAAATCATCAGACCCGAGGTCATTGTGGGCGCCCCCAACTGTGTAAGCATTGCCAGAAGGGTGGTCTTGGGGACCACCCCCGCCTCCGCGACTCCCTTAGTGCAGGAGCTGAGAGAGGAAGGAGCAGCCTCACCGCCCCCTCCACAACCGGTTCCTCCAGAGCCCTCCAACACTGCTGCTTCTCGGAACCACCCGCCCGACGCTGGGCCCACGACAGCGCCCAGGATGCAGTCTCTGGGCCGCAAGGGGATTCAGCCTTCCTCCAGTCACGTAACGAGGCCAATTACGAGGCATTATTACCGAGGGACAGCTCTTGCGACTGTCACGTTGGATACATTTAATTGGTAACCATAAAACAAAATGATGATGCAGAGTTGCTAGAGGAAGCATCAGTCTCCCCTGGTCCAGAAAGGAATAGCCGTGACCCAGTCCTGGCTGGGACATGTCGGTGGCCTCCTTCCCGCACCAGAGCCTGGCTTTGCACAGCGCCCCAAACCAGAGGCTCTGGGGCACAATTGTCCTGCTTGCTTTCTATTTCCTAATCACAGAAGGACCGGACACCGGCCACCCGCATCCCCCCAGCTGCCTGGCCGGGCTTCGAAAGGCGACACGGCCACCCTCTGTGCCACGGACGTCACATTCGATCTCTGACCAAAACAAAAAGCTCTCACGTGCTTGGTGTCAACACTGCCCCAAGCCTGTGCAGAAAAGCACGGAGGCGATGGGGAGAAGCTGTCACCCACTGCCATTCCCGTCTGTCCACTGCCTGCAGGAGGACAAGCAGGCAGGTGGGTCCCACCCCTGGGAGACGGTACTCAGGGCGCCTGGGCCGCCCCCACCCCCTCCCTCGGGACTCCTGCAGCCACCCTGCCCGCCCTAAGACCGCGCTCCCCTTCGGTCCCAGAAGCGTTTCACGGCTCAGATGCTCTGTGCAGGGACGTGGCCATCTGACGCCCAGAGTCGTATTTATGCGCTCTGAGCAATCCTGGCTGAGAATAAGGTTTCTGGCAGCAGAACTGCTGGAAATGCCATCAGCCTAACAGGAGTAACGCATCAAACATTTTCCAAATGGTCACCCACAGAATGTGCAAACGGGAGCTCTTACCTGGTCTCTCAGACTGTATCTTTAGACAAAGCCGTTTCACGAAATCTAAAGGCAGCTGAACCACTTCCTGTAAGAACAAGCATGGAACACTCAGCGCGCCGCGGGAGCCGGCTTGACCCGCACCGACACTCGGGGAAATGGCAGACTTCACATTCTGCGTATTTTACCACGTTAAATTACTCAGCATGTGGATTTACGAATACAAGCTGCTCTGCTGTCCTGAGGATGCGACCAGATCAAACAGACACAAAGGTGTCTGTGTGCGGAGCAACAGGCCCTCTCAGAGCGCGGGCCTCTGCTGGGAAAGGGGCGCCTCCTAGTCGGTCTCCCCGGCTCCCACCCAATCTGACACCGACAGGGCCGGCTCAGCCGGTGCGGGAAGGAATCCCGCCACGACAGGAGCACGGGAGCAGCAGACGGGACCGTCCAGAGCCAGCCGGGGCTCAGCTGCTCTCAGTGCAGCGACCGCCAGGCCCAGGTCAGCCACCAAGGGGAAAAGCAGAACTGCATTTCTTTAAACCACCTAAAATTCCCAATTTTATGATGAGCTCTATTTTAGGCATCCTTAACATTCGGCTACATTTACCAACCCTTGATTCCGACTCCGGAACCAGCGTGACCCACGCCATCCTGCCTGACAGACGGATGGACGGCGGTTCCCAGCAGGGCAGGTGGCCAGCACCTGCACGGAGTATCGGGTCGGGAAGAACTAGTTAGGACCACAGAGGTCCTCTCCCGGCAGTGTAACACGGACAGGGTAGCCACACCAGCGTCTCTGCTGAGGGGCAGCTGCCCGCGAAGGGACCGGGCAACTGCGTGCGGAGAAGGACAAAGAGCGGCCAGCTTGGGGGGGGGGGGGGGGGGGGGTCTGGCAGGGGAGCAGCACGTCCAGTCTTCCAGAAGCTCTCCCAGGAGAAAAGCATCCCCTCACCATCACATCAAGGTCAAACGTGAAGTCGAGGCTGCCCCAGTGGCGTTCACCTCAGGAGAACTGGGTCCACAAAAGCAAGGCAACACTGTTAACATTCCACCAGTGCCTCAACCCCTCATGGTACTGAAGACACAAGACCTGAAGACCCCAGGAAAAGAGCCTCTTCCTTGTTTCCTAACCTCCAGCTCCCCCAGGGACAGGCCCAGGCCAGTCCCAAACCCCGCTCGGTGGGTGTGCCTATGGCTCGGGCCAGCCTCACGCTCCGGCACGGGCCTGTCTGCGTCTTGTGCTAGGACAGGGGGTAGGGAAAGGCTCTCCCAGGACTCGACTCCACCCCACCCCGCCCCCGACTGGCGTCAGCAGTCACTGTTCACTCAGGCTGGTTTTGCCCGAACGCGGCCTTGTGCAGACCAGAGATGTGCTCTTCCTGCACTTCAACCGTGCCGGGCCCATGTACAAGGAAGAAAAAGCAGGTTGGGTTTCACTTTGGCAGTGTCTTCCTGCAGAGGACAGGTGTCAAGGGGGTGGATATTCCCAGGATGTGACCTTGTGAGCTCACCTCATTCGCCAGAGCCCTATCCACTGCAGACAAACAGAACCCCACCTGGGGTCAGAGCACACCCTGGGCCCTGGGGCTACATCCTGATGCTGTTCCTGCCAGGCCCCCGCCGGCTGGGACCCTGAGCTCCCCACCGCCCTTTGGATCCCTCCTGGGAGAAGGTTTAGAGCATCCCCCACGTACTGCGAAGCAGAGAAATGCCCTCTCAAGGAGAAAGCTGGCAGCCAGCATAGCTGCATTCGCTCAGGCACCATTCAGGCTGGTCAGAGACATGGGGCTCCCAGCGGGACAGCTGGGGACCTCACCAGGACAGCCCTGGGCACTCCCGCCCCTGTGTAGCCCCACACCACCCAGGCTGACCCACAAGACCAGCAGGATGCTGTGGAAAAGACAAGACACAACTCCAGGACAGGTCATCTCTCAGACCACGAGCTGGGGCAGCTAGGGCCAGGTCGTACGGACACTCGCAGCCCCTCGTGAGCCCACGTCAGGAGCAGCTGAGGCCCCCGGCCAGCAGCCGGCACCGCCCTGCCAGCCCCACAGCAGACCCACCCCGCAAGAGGGTCCACAGCCCCAATGGACCTCCAGTGGCAGAGGGCTCAGGGATGCCATCCGGATCTGCCCCAAGAACCTCACCAAGCTGGAGCCCCCCTCAGGACAGCAGGGTGGCGGGGGCCAGGGGTCCTAGCAGCTGCGGGGCTCAGGTGGTCTCTGAGCCTCACGTTTCTTGGCTGGAAGACGGGTGTCAGACTACCCGCCCGGCGCCGCCGTGTGGCCCCGGAGAGCAGCACCTGAACACAAGCGTCATCAGGAAGCACTAAGGTCCAAACGATCACTGAGACCTGGCATGACTGACACAGAAGGTGCCTGGGAATTCAGACTCCGTAAATCAAAGTCACTCACCCCACAGTGGACATAGTTCTCCCCCAAAAACTCTTTCATGACATTTTTGCTGAAGTCCACTATGTTCTGTAGGTGCTGAAATATTTCTTCTGAGGTCTGTAAAAGAGAAGCATAGGGAGGCCTCAGTGACCAGGGGGCAGCTGGCACCGCGTGGGGCCGCATGTCGCCGCCGCATACACACCAGATGCCCGGGCCTCGGGGGCAGGGGAGCCTCACCACGGAGACCGCCAGGCCCGCCGAAGGGAATGTCCGTCCCGCAGCCCCCACCCTCCTCCCACCAGGACACGGCCCCTAACCAATGCCCCTTTGAAAATCTCTCCCAGCCCCAAATCACCAGGCATTCTGATTTGCATCCCCAGCAACCAAATGTAGAATATTTGCTTCCCAGTTGGAGGCTCTTAACCCACAGGCTATGAGATATGGGGGAGAAAGGAAATCAGCCCTGAGTCCCTCCCTCTGGCCCAGGGCGGCAGGCCGAGGGTGGACAGCAGGACCCACGGGGACAGCAGGCTGTGGGCTCGCGGAAGGTCGCGCATGGAGCTGCAGCCCACGGCCCGAAGCGCGCACAGACCGCAGCCTGCGTGGGAACAAGGCCCCGCAGCAAACCCGGGGCGCTCCCGGGGCACCCACAGCCTGGTCACAGAGCTCCCGACAGAAAGCTCTTCCGTCGACAGAATGACCCCACGCAACTCCCCACCACTCACGCAGCCGGTGGCACATCGTCCCACTCGTAAAATACAGACAAGCTATTGCCTCAGAAGACACCACCTCAGTAAATCTGAGCAAAAACACTGACAGAGGCATCCAGAGAGCGTGGCCTTTCCAGGCGCTGCAGACTGCTTGGCGGAAGGGGTGGTGTGAGCTGCCTGGAGAAGGTTCTAGCCTCCACTCGGATCCACTTGATCCCACAGGAACACAACACCCACATGCCTCCAGAGGACGCTAAGGCAGGAAACACCCTCTCCCGCCTGGGGCCACCTTCCTCCATCCCACACCATCCCGAGGCCCCCCAGCTTTCTCCCTCGGGGCCCTCGTCTCCTTCTGCGAGGCCCTTCATTTCCAAAGCCATTCACCCCGCCTGCCCCTCGGGCAAGGCCCCCCAACCCAGCGGATTCATCTCTCCCGCACCCTGTTGGGGACCCAACTGCCACCCACCCCTCACTCCCCAGCTACTGTGAGGCGGCACCCAGGGCCCCTGCCTCTCTTTTTAATCACCCCCAAACACACACCACAGCCACTTCCCACCTGGAGGGATGCAGACACTACTGGGAGGCAGCTCCCTGAGCACGTCCACAGTGCTCTCTGCCTGGTGCCTCAGTGAACAGAAACCCCGGGCCCCACCAGCACCGCCCACTAGGACTTGTGCCACCATCCGCCAGTAGCACCCACTCACTGTCACAGCTACGATCCCATAGATGGGGAAACCGAGCCAGCGGGGTGGCAAAGCTGAGCCCTGGTCCTGGATGTCCTGGCCACAAGTGGGGCTCCCTGCCTGCTCCTCACTCAGAACTGCAGACCCTCCCAGGGGACCTAAAGTGACCAGGAAGATCAAAACGCTGGCCCTACAGGGATTACGGATACCCCACTTTCTGTGCCCACTGCTGTGTCACATTTAAATTTCTATAATTAGCACTAATACTTCTGCAATGGAAAAAACCCCAAAGTTTTCTTATATAATTAATGACAGGGTGGCAAGCCCACCAATCTTACCTTCTTCCTGCTTGGAGGGAACTTCAGGAAACGCAACACGACACAACGCTATTGGGAAATAAAGCAAAGTCCAGTCAGTGCCCACCCCAAGCCTGGGGACCATGGAGTGGCTGTGGGGAGGGGGGAGCAGGCCTGGGTCCCAGGGCAACCAGGAAAATCAGACACCTCTGGCCCAGCCAGCTCGTTCCCAGGAATCAAACTCACAGAAATAACTACGGTACCCAGGAGCCCGCAGCTACTGCAGACGGGAGTGTGGTTCGTAATTCCCAGTAAAATGGAAACAACCCCCGGGGGCCAATAGCGCGGTGGCTGGACACAGCAGGATGCCGTCCACACCTCAGAGTGCAGGACACAGACCGATATTCACAGACACAGAGCTGCAGTCGTCACGCGCTGGTGATTGAGGAAGGGCACAAACGGGGCTTTAAACACACCTGGACACGTGCATATGGGTACAGCTCCATTCGTGTCAAGTTCAAAAGCCGGTAAGAGCAAGACCCGGGGACCACCCCACAGGTGGGTGGGACTGTCCCTGAGGAATGTTCTAGAAGGGGTTGGTCACAGCACTGCGAGTCACGGGATCACCAGTCCCTGCACTCAGTGATAATCAAGCTACATATACACTTACGATGCAGGCACGTTTCCGTAGGTTTGCTACACTTCGTTTTTAAAAGTTCATAAAATAAAAAGTTTTAAAGTATGTGCATACTCAGTTTATATGGAAAAGTCTGAAAGGATCCAGCACCGGTGACAGCATCTCCAGGGAGCAACAACTGGGACAACTTCTTAACATCTGTCCAGCATAGAACGCCAGGGAAGTGGAGAGCAGGGGACAGGCTCGGGGAGGCCCTGCAGCCTGACACAGGAGAGCGCTGCAGGAGCTCACGCCCTCGAGGACACGGAGAAGCTGGGATTTTCACAAGCAAAAAAAGTCAGTGAGTGGAAGTATGACACACACACACACACACACACACATTAAACTGCCTCAAAGCCCACAGTGAAGGTCACAACTTGTCACTTACGAAAGGAACAAAAGTCCCAGGCTGGGGAGGGGGCATCACGTGCCAAATGGCCTGGGAGCCACACCTGTGACCCCCTGAGAAGCCAGGGCCCTAACTGCGCAGCCACGTGAATGTCTGACCGTGCGGAGTGGGGACACTGGCCACCCAAGGGCTCTGCAGCCTTGAACACGGGGGCAAAGGATTTTCTACACGCTGATGCTTTGAGGTGGAGTGAAAAATCGGAAAACAAAAACAGGATTCCTGAGCACGAAATAAAGGCATAAAATGAGGGGCACCTAGGTGGCTCAGTCTGTTAAGCCTCTGCCTTCGGCTCAGGTCATGATCCCAGAGTCCTGGGATCGAGCCCTCCATCGGGCTCTCTGCTCAATGGAGAGCCTGCTTCCTCCTTTCTCTCTGCCTACCTCTATGCCTACTTGTGCTCTATCAAATAAATAAATAAGATCTTTTAAATAAAAAAAAAGTAGCATAAAATGGAAGCAAGTACACCAAAGCAGTGACAAAAATTATTTTCTCAGTGGGAAAATACTGGGTGCTTTTCACTACCTTCCCTCCAATATTCTGTATTTTCTGGGCAGAGACAGCAAGAATTAGCATCACATGAGAATGAAAGACCACAGAGAACAACATACTAAGAGGGCCAGCTGCCCACGAGAAGCCCGAAGGAGGGAACACGCAGGTGGAATCAAGGCACCTTGATTCGGCACAGATGGGGGGGTTGGAGGGGGAGGCCGCCCCGCGCCCACGGGCACCAGCAGGTGCACCATTTCAGGCCCAGGACACACCGGGAAGACCACAGGGCACTGGGGACCAGGCAACTTCCACGAGAAAGGGAGAGAAACACAACAGAAAGGCTCACCCCTCGGGGTGCTGTCCCGGTGCCCGGGCTGGCTGCTCGTGAGGCCAAGCCACAGCCTAGTCCGTCAGAATGCCAGTGACAGAACCCAAGCCGGCAATGTGGAGAGGGGACGAGGGCCGGGAGGCGCTGGGTTGACAGCCCCATAGAGAAGCTGGCGGCGAGCCATGTCACAGAGGGCAGGCAGGACACCGCAGGGAGGCCAGATAGTAGGGGCGTACTGGGACAGCAGGGGACCTACAGGGGGCAGGACACTTTCCTTCCCAAGCTCCAGCTGCCTGGTCTGCACCCACAGCGGCCACAGAACCAATGCGGTCATGGATTCAAGCAGGGGCCGGGGGTTGGGGGGTGGGGCAGAAGGGGCACTTGGGTGGTCCCTGAAAGGATGGAAAATCCAACAGCCAGAAGAGAAGGACCTGTAAGACAGACCCCAACTGCACAGAGTGCACGGCGCGGGTGTCCTAGAGAAGCAAGAGCAGGTCTGCGGGGAGACTTCCGGGCCCCCAGACCCACCCAGACATCCCCACACACACACACAGCGAGGTAGGGGAGCCCGTGGTGCCGTCTGGTCCTTCCCCATGACACACAGAAGCCTTGTGGACCTTCCTGGTCGACAGGGCAAGTGCCGTCCGGACTGAGGAGGAAGCACACAGTCGGCAGGGACGCCACTGAGCCACCTCGAGAGACCAGGCCCAGACAGGCAGAGCTCAGCTCCCCTAGGTTAGGGCTGGAAATCACAAATCCTAGTATGTGACTACAGGTGATCCCGGGAATGATTACAGGCAGGGTCACATGCAGAACTCTCTTGTGAGACCTCGCCGAGAAAGAAGTCACATCAGCTGACCTAGCTAAGTGTCGACCTAGACGAGCACCACAAAAAATTCCAAACAGAGAATGAACTACTTGTTTAAAAAAAACAAAAACACTAGAAGCAACAAAAAGTTAAGACTCTCTGAACTAGATTCAGCAGAAAATTAAAGAAGGGAGTGGCCCAGGACTTGGGAATATGCCATATTCAAAAACAAAAAAAACAACAAAAAGCCCAGAACAGAACAACCCTCCTCTGTCTGCAGCATCTCCATCATATATGATCCACAAACCAGAAATCCCGAAACCAAGATGGAAAGAGGAGTGCGACGGGCCCTGACTGCTTGAACTTCGCATCTTCAGGACCCAGACAAACACCCAGGGCGTCAGAACAGTCGCAGAGGTAAAGGGTCCCACACACCCTCAGAAGCTTAGAAAGACTGTAGAACCTGAAAGGCAGAAACGAGCTGCTTCTCCTGCGCTTTTGCAGAAGATTCTGGTTGGCAGGTATTTCGTGTTCACTTGTCGACAGGGAGGAATGCATCCCTGGAGTTGGTGTGACAAGCCCCAGGGGAGGGGCGCTGGATGGAGGGCCGCTTGCTCCCACCACTGGAGACACTTCAGAGATGGCGTGACAAGCCAGACTCGCGACCCTCCCAGGACAGGGCAGGGCCAAAGCCACCCGACGAGAAGGTAAGGAGGGCGAGTGCAGATGGAGAAGGAGAGAAAGCCCACGTGGCAGCACACGTGAGGGCAACCGAGGGCTTGACCACAGCTCAGTGTGAGCCCAAGTGGGACAGGCCACTAGAAGAACCACAGGGTCCTTGGGCCACAGCAATGGAGGACAGTGCACTCCCACGGGGGAGATGCCCTTGCCCAGGACCCCTCCATAGGGCAGGTTCCTGGAGTCCCCCTGCATACATTGCCGGGCAGGCCACAGCCTCGGAGCAGCACAGAGGGTCTGTGCCAGGCCCAGGGCGGCAAAGGCAGGGCCTCCGCCGTGGCATGGAGGAGCCACCGGACAGCGGACAGCAGCCTGTCAGGAACTGACCAACCCTTGGGTCTTACATTGCCCACACAGGCCCCACAGTCTACAAGTTCTCAAAGCCTCCCAACCTGCTGGCCCATGTTCCTTCAGTGCAGACCCTGGGCCTTGGGACTGGCTGCCTGAAGGCACTCCACGTCGTGATGCTGGAGAGGAGGAAAGATGGCTGTGGCACTTTTTAAGGACACTCAGTTCTGAAATTGAGCTGAAAAGGGACAGTGTCCTGACCCACAAGAACACTGGTGAAGCCGCCCTCCCCCTTGGACTGAATGAGGTGGGTCTGGGGAGCAGGAGCACTTGTTCTCTCCCCCTGACACACGCACCCTCTCCTCGGGCACAGCAGGGCCCTGAAACGCTGCCTCCTGGGCTCTACCCTCCTTTCCACACCTCAAGGCCCACGCAAAGCACAAAGGCCTCTCCACATTCAAGAGGCAAAGTCAGAAACTTCACTGGGTGGGAACGTTTTCTCACAAGACCACTTGCGACAAGGAGCTAACACCAACCAGGCTGGAATGAGCACAGCAGAACAAATTTCGACTTAAAATAAGGATGAAGAGCACAGGTCCTGTGTAGCCTGATGACTGAATGGAAAAGGGAAAGGAAACACAAGCCCTAAGAGAAAGGGCTGAGCTGTGGGGGAGGGGCTGGGCTAGTGGGGAGGGGGTGGGGAGGAAGGGACGGTGATGGTGGCCACCCCAGAGGCCTCCCAGGTTCCAGCCTCATGTTCTTTTACTTTGAGTCTGTACCTTGCTCTTCCATCTGACACCCTTGCAACTCGGTAATTAGCCCCCACTCGAAAGGAAGCCTTAGCCTTATGTGACATGAAGATCTGCTACTCAGCCTACTACGGAACTGAGCACGAGCATTTCTTCTGTGAAAGGGTTCAGGGGTCACAACAGTAACCCAAAACCCCAAGGGACCCGTGCTGGAATATCCCATGCCCCGCGCCACCCTCAAACACCACAGGGCCCAGCAGACGGCGCAAAGAAGGGCTCTAGGTTAAGCGTTGCCCATTATTCATCTGAAGATCCTGACTGAAGCCTGCATGCAGTTCTTCAGCTGCCTGACTGCGCTAATGAGAAACAAAATGCAAAGGCAGATCACAGGGGCCACCTGGGTGACTGCAGCTTCCCCTGCCACTGACCCCACACAGCCAGCGCAGAAACCAACCACAGAGCAGGGTGCCACCCAGTAGGAGCTGCGGCACGTGTCAGGGCGCTCACTGAAGTCCAAAGGGGATGACAGTGTTCACTTGCCCAGCACCTGCTCACCTAACCTTCTAGCAAGTCCACAATGGGCATTTTGTTCCTAGTTCCACTTTATGAATCCAGAAAGTGCGCCTGGGCCAGGCAGTGGTAGAACTGGGATGGCACCCAGCTGTGTGACTCCAAATCCCCAGCTCTTAACCCCTTGGTGACACCCAGGGCTCCTCCTCTGCCCACCACATTCCAGCCTAGTTGTATCAGCAAAACGTCAGAGGTTTGGGGCTTTACAGGAATCCACATGCTTCTCTTCCTGGATTCACTCCCCTGCGAGTCCTTATTGCGCTTTCTGAAACTACAGCCCCTCACTGAATTAAGAAAGAGAAACCCTTTAAATTCTAAAAGACTCTGAACAAGAACACCTGGGCAAATCATTATTAGCAACAGCTGCAGGAGCACAGCAATTCCGTGGGTCTTGGAGGATACACTCCCTTGGCGCCGGGAGATACCAGCACCCCCGGCACTTCGCTGCTTCCTCCAGCTCCCCGGACCCCCATTCGGACCCCGGGTACCCCCCGGGCGGCCTCTCGGCGCAGCCTCTGCCCCATCGCGGCTGGTCAATCGGACATGGCACCGCGTGCGGCGCAGTGGCGGTGGGGGAGCTGGGGGGACGCAGCCCTGACGTGGGTTACACTGGGCGAGGGGTGGCACCGACCTGGGGGGAGAGGTGACACTGGGGGGACGAGGAACTTACCCGAGGGAACGCGGATACGGGGGATGCGGAACTACCCGGGGCGGGAGAGGGGGTGCGGGAGAACCGATCCGCCGGGAAAGGGGTGCCAGCGGGTCGTGGAACAGACCCTTGGGGCGGGGGAGTATTGCTGGGGGTACTCGGAACTAGCCGGGATGGGGCAGGGGGCACCAGGGGGTCGTGGAACAGACCCTGGAGGGAGTGTTGCTGGGGGATCGCGGAACTCCCCGGGGGCAGGGTAAGGGCCCAGGACTGCGCCGACCTTCCGCCGCTCACCTGCGCGTGGGCCACCACCAGGCTCTTGTTGCCCTCACCGTGGTACCGCCATTCATTCTCGTCCATCTTTCCTTCGTCCATCCCCCGGTACGGCCCTGGCGCCTCTCGCGGCCGCGAGGTGAGGGCCGCCCGTCCGCCTGGGCACCAGCCACCGCCGTCGGGGGAGGAGCGCCTGTCAGCCACGGCCTCACCTCGACCCTGCCGCCCCGACTGCCAGGATCCGGCCGCCGGAAGCCACGCCCCCGGCGGCTGCCATGGCTGGGTCGGGCAACTTCCGGGTTTATGCCCGCTTCTCCTCCATTGATCGCTGCGGCGGATGATCAGGGGCCATCTTGGGTGCTGGCACGGTGACTCACTTCCGGAGCGCGGATTTGAGAACCGGAAAGGAGGTTTCCGGTCCTGGCGCCGGAAGTGAGGCAAGCGGGAGCAGCCGGCGGCTGGTCGGCGCCCAGCACTGGCGTGGCAGAGATAGAGATCTGGCGGGCGGGGAGAAGGAAAGGGGTCAGCCGGGCGGCCCCGCAAGTCGGGGAAGGGGTGTCCAGGCAGGCCGGGGTTACGGTGGTCCGCAAGCCTCGGACCGCTCAGTCGTGGAAGCCCCGCAAAGCATCGGCGTCCCTGAGCCCCCGCTTCCTTTTCTGTATGAATAGGATGTGTCTCATCTCGCACGGGGATATTAGTATCACCTCGTGCTTGCTACCTGGCGCAGAACCACCCCAGCAGTCCCATGAGGTGGAAGCATCGTCCTCCGCACTTCACAGGTGTGGAAGCGTGGCCCCGGACTAGTAGGTTTCCTGGAGACTTGAGCGGGAGGCTGGGGGTCAGTAGCGAGCCCCTCCTCCCCGCACCCTCGATGCCGTCTTCTAGAGCTGCAGTCAAGTTCAGTTAGATGAGCGGCCCCCAAACTCTCCGTCCCAGGACCTCAGAAAGCTTTTGCTAATGTGGGTTGTATGTGTCGATGTTTACGGTATTGTGTGAAATTTAAAAGAGTACTTTAACATTTAAAAATCAACATTATGCTTTTTGGGTGCCTGGGTGGCTCAGTCGGTTGAACATCTTAGCTCTTGATTTCGGCTCAGTTCACCATGTCCGTGTGGGATTGAGCTCCTCCCTGGGCTCTGCACTCAGCAGGGAGACTGCTTCTCGCCCTCTCCCCCGGCTCCAGCGCGCACACTCACGAACTCTCACTCTCCCTAAATGGATAGGTCTGTACAAATATATAAATATTACACGTTTGGGAAAAATATTTCCCAAAAATATAGAGAAGAATGGTAACTGTTTTACATTTTTGCAAATCTCCCTGGAGTTTGGATTCATAGAAGATAGTAGGAGTCTCACATCACCTTCTGCATTCAATCTGTTGGAATATACAGCTTTGAAGTATACCAGGAAAACCCAGCTTCAGATCTACGGTTCAACACAGAAAGAGCTACAGACCGAACTTTGAAAACTGCTTAGAGTGCCACTGGGCACCTGGCAAGGCCTCAGGAACAGTAATGAAATGATGCCAGTCAGTCGGCAAAACAAGCCGATAGTGTTGAGGACTGGCTGGGATAGAAGGCAGCTGGGGCCTGGGGTGAACAGCCCACTCATAGGAGGTAAATAGTCCTGAAGTGGGGGAGGAAGCCTCTGCACACTCTCACAAGGCCTGAGAACCCTAAACATGTCTGAGATTGTTTCTCAGCATCTGTGAACAGAGTATTAGTATCATATTAAGACATTTCCTTAAGGAACCCTCCAGTGCTAAAAATGTTCTCTATCTGGGTTCCTTTTTTCAAGGAGCATTTTATCACACTGTTCAGAAGTACTAGCATATGGTGATGATAAGAAGATTACATCTTGTTTTCGTGGTTGCTTTTAAATTCTCCACAGATGTACCTGGTGGACCGTGCCCACCCTACCTCCCCACCCCATCCCCAGATTGGTACACCACTGACTACAGGCAGAGCCAGGTGCTTTGAAAGCATCATGTTAACAACATGGAGGAGAATGGAAACATCTGAAGGCCAGAAGGAAAAACAGAAAGGCTAGAAAAGACATGAGCATTAGGAGAAGTACCTCTTCCTCTATTCAGCCCATGTGGTCTGACTTAAATTAACATCATTCCTAGTCTCCAGGCTGGCTTGTGATCTCAGCCTGTGTGCAATTGAGAACTATATTCTCAAGGAATTAAATCAAGCCAGGGTGCAGACATGATCCAGGTTCATCCAGTGAAGCTCGCTCCTTTGGCTTGCTTGAAGTGGTCATGGGGAGAGTCACCCTCAGCTGGGTGACTAAGAAGCCAGGAGATCAGGGTGAGCTGCCAGCAGGGATCCAGACATCTGGGAAGTGGTGAGGACGGGAACATCTGCTGAGCCCAAGGATCAAGTCTTACTCAGTTGCTCTCAGGTTTCTGATGCAGCAAATTCCATCTTTTGCTAAAATAATTTGAGTTGAGTTCCTTTCACTCACAACCTGAAGAGTCCGATGTGATAACAAGGTACACGGGGATGGACCAGTCACCTCAGGTAGTGAGGAAGTGAAGCCAAGACCAAAAGGCCAAGGTTAGCAGGGACTCCTGCACAAGGCCCGTGTCACTGGGTGCTTTTTGAGCTGCCATCTAGGTGCCAGCTGCACTGCCACCACAATTAATCATGGCCTTCTCCTTTTGTGTTTAAGAAAGAAGAAAGGAGAAGAGAGGAAGGAAGAAAGATGAAGTGGGACACTCACCTTCCAGCCACACTGAGCAGCCATCCAGAAACAAGGTGGCAGAACACTGGGAAGTAAGGGCCAGCAATGAATACTTCCCGTTGCTCTTGTGATGTGTGTCTGGGCTCCTCACTGCACAGTTTACGTCTGAAGGACGTGCACAGCAATTTGTATCACCTACTGTGATCACCTGTTATGAAGGCACTTCACCCCTGGTATTTCCCTCCAAAACCTATAACCCCCATCTAATCATGAGAAAAAGTGAGGGACATTCGACCAGGATTCCTCAAACTGTCTGGGACACGGGAGACATGGACAGACCAGAGTCGCTTAAGGAGACAGTCCCCCTAAATGCAATGTGGGATCTGAAAAGGATGTTGGTGGAGAAAGTGGTAAACTCCCCCAAAAATCTGGAGTTTAGTTGGTAGTCATGGACCAATGTTAATTTCTTCGTCCTGGGAAACAAACCATATATGTTAACATTGTGGGGAGCTGGGTGAAAGGCATATGGCCCTATGTCACATGTTTGCATAAATCCAAAATAAGGAGTTTACTTACAAAAAAAGAATTCATTTTTCAGCTTCTTTCATAATTACACCATTAAGTATGTATTTTAAAATATGTATCATATCAAACTGGCAAAATAAAAGTAATCTTTACAACGTTTGCGTGGATGAGGGGGGAGGGACAGACAGGACACACACTGTTGGAGCCCCAAATAGAGCCACATCAGTAAAAGTAGTTGCTTCTAGTCCCCTTTGACCCATCATTTCCATGCCTACAAATTCCCTACAAAACCCCCAATACAGGGCGCCTGGGTGGCTCAGTGGGTTAAGCCTCTGCCTTTGGCTCAGGTCATGATCTCAGGGTCCTGGGATCGAGGCCCACATCGGGCTCTCCGCTCAGCGGGGAGCCTGCTTTCTCCTCTCTCTCTCTATGCCTGCCTCTCTGCATACTTGTGATCTCTCTCTGTTTCAAATAAATAAATAAAATCTTTAAAAAAAAAAAAACAATACACACAGAGTATTTGTACAAGCAGCGGTGTTGAACAGGGCTTGGTTCCCAACATGGGCACCTCGAGACAGCCTCAGGCTGCACTGACCCGCCCCAGCACGAGACTGGGAGCAACGCCCTGCAACCGTGTTCTAACAGGTTTCCTGGGTAACTCTCGGGCACTGAATTACGGCATACTCAAAAGGCACATAGCCAGTCAGAAAACGAGTCACACTTTTACTGACGTAAGCACTGTTCAAAGTCTGCGGTTGTGAAGCAAACGTGTGGGTGTGGGTGTGGGTGTGGGTGTAAATGCAAATTAGAGGGGATCCAAGTTATCCTGTCTGGAAGGAGGAGAGAGGGAGAAACAAGGGAAATAATGTCACTTTCTTCATATATTGTTGATTGAATGTATTCATGAAACACTTCTACAATAAAAATTTAAGATTTTGTTTTTTTATTATTTATTTGACAGAGAGAGCGTGCACAAGCAGAGGGAAAAGAAGGAGAAGCAGATGGCCCACTGAGCAGGGAGCCCGATGTGGGGCTCAATCCCAGGACCCCGGAATTAGGACCTGAGCCAAAGACAGACGCTTAACCGACTGAGCCACCCAGGCACCTGTTGCTTTTTTTTTTTTTTAAGATTTTATTTTTTTATTATTTACAATAAAAATTTTAACGAATACATTCTCAGTACTTATTTTTTTAACTGAGGTAGACCGATCACTGTATGCAAGTGAAAGATGCCCGTGTACATTGTTAAATACAGGAATAAATGTGTTTGAATAGGAAAGAACATAAAAAAATATGTGCCTTATTGTGCACTGAGGTTTTCTTTGGGGATCAGACCACGGTGAGGTGCCTTGCATTTTTCTATAACATTTGAATTTGGCATGAAAGACATGAGTTACCTTTGTAATTGGAGCGGGGTGGGGAAAAGTCCTGCATGAGGTGGCCTTGGGGTGCTCAGGTACAGGAAACTGGGCAACTGGGAATGAACTCCTAGCTACACGGGTCCCCTGAACCTGCCATGGGCAAGGTCCTGCTCTCCCGAGCCGATCCCACCGACTCCAACACGCCCTAACTGGATAATAAGTTGGGGGGCCTTTGAGGGCACACAGCCCCTTCCCATTTAAAGATAGGGTGAGGCTGAGCATGTTGTCACCTGCGCTGCTCACTTTCCCAGGGCCCATGTCCAGCGCAGCTGCTCCCCATCTGCCTTCTGCTCACCTCCCTCTCCAGCTCTCATGCTCCAGGATAATCCAAGCAAAGGGGTGACCCCCCTGAATGAGGCCATTATTATCATCTCTGACCTAGACAACACAGTAAAGGACCAGCCACCAAGGACAAGATCAGTGACTTTATCTACATAAAAAAAATTAAAACCCAGAGGCACCTGGGTGGCTGAGTTGGTTAGGCAACTGCCTTCAGCTCATGATCATGATCCCAGAGTCCCAGGATCGAGTCCCACATCAGGCTCCCGGCACAAGGAGTCTGCTTCTCT